GGATAGTGAGGGTACCAGGAAAGTGAGGGGTACCAGGATAGTGAGGGTACCAGGATAGTGAGGGGTACCAGGATAGTGAGGGGTACCAGGATAGTGAGGGTACCAGGATAGTGAGGGTACCAGGATAGTGAGGGGTACCAGGATAGTGAGGGGTACCAGGATAGTGAGGGTACCAGGATAGTGAGGGGTACCAGGATAGTGAGGGTACCAGGATAGTGAGGGTACCAGGATAGTGAGGGGTACCAGGATAGTGAGGATACCAGGATAGTGAGGGTACCAGGATTGTGAGAGCGAGGTGTTCCCTGTGGTCTTGGCAGCCAGTTTGGGCAGGTCTGGTTGTTGAGACGACCAGGAGGGGGGGGCCCTTGGGGAGGGGGGGGGGGCTGAGGGCATGGTGCAATATATATAGTTTCAGGGCAGCCAGCTGACATGACCTTGGAGACCTCGTGCACGCACTCATGCACACGCAAACACACACACACTGTATTCACTGTGTGTGTATGTGAATCTGAACCGGTGTATAGATTCGTGAATCTGTACACCGTGTGTGTGACCACATGGGTAACAACACCAATTATCTCTCTACACCCTGTGCCTCTCCCACATTATCAACCACACTCACCACCTCAACCACACCTACTGTTACACACCCGCAACCCACACCTCCACCCCCCCCTGCCACACCCCCTCCACCCACCCACACCTGCATCCTCTACCATCAATTATAACCCAAGATACCAACATTATAGCGAGAACTTTGTCAATCCAAGATAAATACTTTTTATCAAATGATAAGTATAGCAGGAAGCTGTAACTACATGAGGGTTCACACACACACACACACACACACACACACACACACACACACACACACACACACACACACACACACAGTACACATGCACTCTACCCCTGAAGGACGCACTGCCAACCATGTGGCCCCAGTGGCCCCCAGTGGCCAAGCGGGACAGGCAACTCCCGACGCTATAACCCCCAGGCACAAGGCTGGCAATACTAGCGTCAACTGCCGACTCCGCCCGCCAAGGTCAAGCCTCGACCAGTCCCGGTAATTGTGTGAGTGGCGTTGTTGCCGTTGGTAGCCGTCGCTGGGACGTAGTTGAGACGCATTGTGCGGCTCCTTTGGACGGGTGGTCGCTGCCGAGGACGGGCGTTCACCGCTCAGCCCGTTCGATACCCGCTGTATGATCAGCGCTGAGAACGAGAGATTTCATCCAGGAAGGTCTATCGTTAATAAGTCCGAGAGATCAGGTTGATAACGAACGGGTTTCGTGTACAACGCACCAGCAACGCCCACTCAGCGTTACTTCCCTGCGTTTTTCGAAGCGGGTCGAGCTCATTCGTTAGGATGTTTTGGTACGTGGGCGAATCATAGAGAGTACATGGAGTCAGTACTTCGGGATTGGGACGTCTGTTGGATGAAGGTCTCTCTCTCTCTCTCTCTCTCCCCATAATCAGGTTCTTCTTGTTTATCTTAAGAATTATGTTAAGGTTCCCGTGAGCGTGGTGAGTGTGGGTGGGGTTGATGTGCATACAGGTATGGTAGGTGTGGGTGTGGTTGGTGTAGGTGAGGGTGGGATTGTTACAGGTGTGTGTGTGTGCTTGATGAGATTGGTGTGGGTGTGGTTGATGCAGCTGGGATTAATATGGGCGTGGGGAGGAGGGAGGCTTTTCTCCTAGCAGAATTTTTTAACCCCAATCTCTTAATGTCTCAATGAAAATGAATGACTCTCTCTCTCTCTCTCTCTCTCTCTCTCTCTCTCTCTCTCTCTCTCTCTCTCTCTCTCTCTCTCTCTCTCCTGTTTTCTACTGCGGTTTTGTTCTTCATCCTTCAGTACTCTGGTGTTCGCCTGTCCCAACCACTATCATCCTGCTAAGTCAGTAAAGCCACCACCCACCTTCTAACCCACTGCCACCCACCTAACCACCCACCTAACCACCAACCCCTCGCCATTTTCGACACACATGAGGAAACGGAGGGAAAAATAAAAAAAAGGCCATCAACTCAGTTCTGGAACGAGTGAAAATGAGGTCTTCACTTTAGTGGTCATAAAGCCCATTTTAAAGCCAAGCCCTGGTGGAAGAGCCCCTCTCTCAGTGATTGAGTTCCTAGACAAATATCGATGTTGTCAGAGATGAGGAAGAAGAGAAACCTAGAGAAGGAATACCTAGGGAAGAGAGTCCTAGAGAACAGACACCAAGAGAGACTAAGAACAGAGACCAAAAGGGACAAAGAGAAGAGGAATCTAGAGAAGAGAGACTAAAAGAAGAGATCTTATATATCCTGACCCTCTCAAGCAAGGCTCAAGGTGTAGAACTTTCCCCATTTAATCAGTGAAAATCCTGGCCTAAAGTCAATCAATCAAAACTGTCTATAGTCGAGAGAAAGTCTTAAGTCCAATATTTACAGACCACAACAAAGTCATCATTTTAATCGAGCAGTTAGATGTTACTAAGCAAACCTAACTTAATCTCCATGGGTCCACCAGGCAACATGGGGCTGGCATCTAAGTTGTGGACAAGGTGGGCGGAGACGTCACTCAATTAAGTCTCAAGCGACTCACAATAAAAAAAAAATGTTGGATACGGTTTTATCATGAACATCAACAAACACAAATCACTGAACTTAACACTTTACCTTCAGAAAACAAAGTCGCAACTGGACTGGCAAAGTCTAAAAAACTCCTCTCAAACGTTAAAGTCCAAAATGGCGTGGAATAAAGTCCAAAATTGCGTGGAAATAAATTCCAAAATGGCGTGGAAATAAAGTCCAAAATGGCGTGGAAATAAAGTCCAAAATTGCGTGAAAATAAAGTCCAAAATGGCGTGGAATAAAGCCCAAAATGGCGTGGAATAAAGTCCAAAATGACGTGAAATAAAGTCCAAAATGACGTGGAATAAAGTCCAAAATGACGTGGAAATAAAGTCCAAAATGGCGTGGAATAAAGTCCAAAATGGAGTATAATACAGTCCAAAATGGAGTGTAATAAAGTCCAAAATGACGTGAAATAAAGTCCAAAATGACGTGGAAATAAAGTCCAAAATGACGTGGAATAGTCCAAAATGACGTGGAATAAAGCCCAAAATGACGTAAAATAAAGTCCAAAATTACGTGAAATAAAGTCCAAAAATGATGTAGAATAAAGTAAAAAATTACGTGGAATAAAGTCCAAAATTACGTGGAATAAAGTCCAAAATGACGTTAAATAAAGTTTAAAATGACGTGGAATAAAGTCCAAAATGACGTGAAATAAAGTCCAAAAATGATGTAGAATAAAGTCCAAAATGACGTGAAATAATGTCCAAAATGACGTGGAATAAAGTCCAAAATGACGTGAAATAAAGTCCAAAATGACGTGAAATAAGTCCAAAAATGATGTAGAATAAAGTCATAAATGACGTGGAATAAAGTCCAAAATGACGTGGAATAAAGTCCAAAATGACGTGAAATAAAGTCCAAAATGACGTGAAATAAAGTCCAAAAAGATGTAGAACAAAATGCCAAAATGACGTGAAAAAAATGTCCAAAATGACGTGGAATAAAGTCCAAAATGACGGAATAAAGTCCAAAATGACGTGGAATAAAGTCCAAAAATGATGTAGAATAAAGTCCAAAATGACGTGAAAAAAATGTCCAAAATGACGTGGAATAAAGTCCAAAATGACGTGGAATAAAGTCCAAAATGACGTGGAATAAAGTCCAAAATGACGTGAAATAAAAACCACATCCCCCATCGGAAAATTAAATATTCACACCACAAGTTACAAACTGAAAATCTGGTAATACCAGGAAGCCTATCCACAAGTAACCGGTATTCTTACCAGATAAAAGATACATATGTATACCCTCTTAAATACAATGGCTCAAGAGAGCACCACACACAACACATGGTCTAACCCTCCAATACCTCAGGACTAGAGATGACAAGCAGCTGTCTCCACAGGTCAGCATCACAACAGTTAATAAGCCTTCTCCGGGTAATGAAAACATACAATTAGGTAAATAAAGTGAATTCTTGAACATACGCAGATGTTTGGCTCACACGAAAATTATATATATACACAAGAGTACCAACGGCAGACATACCCCCGCCCCCTCAAGGGTTGGCTGCTCTGACGCCAACACACACACACACACACACACACACACACACACACACACACACACACACACACACACACACACACACACACACACACACACACACACACACACACACACATACACACACACACACACACACACACACACACACACAGGGGCCTCGTAGCCTGGTGGATAGCGTGCAGGACTCATAATTCTGTGGCGCGGGTTCGATTCCCGCATGAGGCAGAAACAAATGGGCAAAGTTTATTTCACCCTGAATGCCCCTGTTACCTAGCAGTAAATAGGCACCTGGGAGTTAGTCAGGTGTCACGGGCTACTTCCTGGGGTGTGTGAGTGTGGTGTGGGGAAAAAAAATAAGTAGTTAGTAAACAGTTGATTGACAGTTGAGAGGCGGGCCGAAAGAGCAAAGCTCAACCCCCGCAAACACAACTAGGTGAATACACACAGGGGGGAGGGGGAACAGGCCAACCATCACTCGTCAAACAAGCACTTCAACATACTCATCAACATGCAACATGACATATCAACATAACCCAGGTGTACATAATAATATCACACAGACAGACATTAATATTGACAACCACAACAGTGTAATGTAAGAGACAATTGAGGTACAAGTTACTCAGTACTTATAGGTATGGCCGACCAGTTCAAGGAGCAACTGGTCACGCTGAGGCCATAAGAAGAGACCAAGAGAAAAGGAACGAAGAGGAGAACCAAGAGAAGAGGAGCAGGGGAAGAGGGGCCGTGTGTGTGTGTGTGTGTGTGTGTGTGTGTGTGTGTGTGTGTGTGTGTGTGTGTGTGTGTGTGTGGGGGGGGGGGGGGGCGACGATGGCGCCCTTTCTCTTATGGACGAACAGTTCGAATGTTTGTTTTAAAGTTCAAGTAACAGTCCAGCTTTTCTGTCCAGGTGTTGCTGGGGAGATATGTCCGGGTGTTGCTGGGGAGATATGTCCGGGTGTTGCTGGGGAGATATGTCCGGGTGTTGCTGGGGAGATATGTCCAGGTGTTGCTGGGGAGATATGTCCGGGTCTTGCTGGGGAGATATGTCCAGGTGTTGCTGGGGAGATATGTCCGGGTCTTGCTGGGGAGATATGTCTAGGTCTTGCTGGGGAGATATGTCCAGGTGTTGCTGGGGAGATATGTCCGGGTCTTGCTGGGGAGATATGTCTAGGTCTTGCTGGGGAGATATGTCCAGGTGTTGCTGGGGAGATACGCCCAGGTCTTGCTGGGGAGATATGTCTAGGTGTTGCTGGGGAGATACGCCCAGGTCTTGCTGGGGAGATATGTCTAGGTGTTGCTGGGGAGATACGCCCAGGTCTTGCTGGGGAGATATGTCCAGGTGTTGCTGGGGAGATATGTCCAGGTGTTGCTGGGGAGATATGTCTAGGTCTTGCTGGGGAGATATGTCCGGGTCTTGCTGGGGAGATATGTCTAGGTGTTGCTGGGGAGATATGTCTAGGTGTTGCTGGGGAGATATGTCCAGGTGTTGCTGGGGAGATATGTCCGGTCTTGCTGGGGAGATATGTCTAGGTCTTGCTGGGGAGATATGTCCAGGTGTTGCTGGGGATATGTCCGGGTCTTGCTGGGGAGATATGTCTAGGTCTTGCTGGGGAGATATGTCCAGGTGTTGCTGGGGAGATATGTCCGGGTCTTGCTGGGGAGATATGTCTAGGTCTTGCTGGGGAGATATGTCCAGGTGTTGCTGGGGAGATATGTCCGGGTCTTGCTGGGGAGATATGTCTAGGTCTTGCTGGGGAGATATGTCCAGGTGTTGCTGGGGAGATACGCCCAGGTCTTGCTGGGGAGATATGTCTAGGTGTTGCTGGGGAGATACGCCCAGGTCTTGCTGGGGAGATATGTCTAGGTGTTGCTGGGGAGATACGCCCAGGTCTTGCTGGGGAGATATTCCAGGTGTTGCTGGGGAGATATGTCCAGGTGTTGCTGGGGAGATATGTCTAGGTCTTGCTGGGGAGATATGTCCGGGTCTTGCTGGGGAGATATGTCTAGGTGTTGCTGGGGAGATATGTCTAGGTGTTGCTGGGGAGATATGTCCAGGTGTTGCTGGGGAGATATGTCCGGGTCTTGCTGGGGAGATATGTCTAGGTCTTGCTGGGGAGATATGTCCAGGTGTTGCTGGGGAGATACGCCCAGGTCTTGCTGGGGAGATATGTCTAGGTGTTGCTGGGGAGATACGCCCAGGTCTTGCTGGGGAGATATGTCTAGGTGTTGCTGGGGAGATACGCCCAGGTCTTGCTGGGGAGATATGTCTAGGTGTTGCTGGGGAGATACGCCCAGGTCTTGCTGGGGAGATACGCCCAGGTCTTGCTGGGGAGATATGTCTAGGTGTTGCTGGGGAGATACGCCCAGGTCTTGCTGGGGAGATATGCCTAGGTGTTGCTGGGGAGATACGCCCAGGTCTTGCTGGGGAGATATGTCTAGGTGTTGCTGGGGAGATACGCCCAGGTCTTGCTGGGGATGTAACGGGGGGTGGGGGAAATAGCTCTATCTTGTCCATTATTCCACCCCCCAGTTAACTAACGAGGCCGGGGGAAACAGCTCTCTCTAGTCCGTTATCCCGTCCCCAGTTAGCTAACTATTCTAGAGCACCTCCAGAGTTCCTAAGGCAACCTCTCTCGTTCAACACCTTGTAACCTAGGTATTTAACTACCTAGGTGCTAAGACTACAAGGCGCCGTAACTTGATCAGCTACCCGAGAACTCTAGAGAGAACTCTAGAATACAGAATCATTGCCACAAACGTATAAGAGAAAACGAAAGGAAAGAAATGAATAGTGAAGTAATTAGTGAGGGTTTGGGGTGAGAGGTAGAGAGGTGGGAGGAGCGAGGAGGGTCATTAGTTGAAAGTGAGAGTTTAGAGAGGGGGTGGAGGGAGAGGTGTAGATAGGTAGAAGTAGAAGAGTAGATAGTAGAAGTAGAAGAGTAGATAGTAGAAGACGAAATGCTGCCACCATCCATTCATGATCATTACATACGAGACAAGGAATGGAACTTGCCTGTATCACAAAATTCTCAAAAGATGTTATCATGAGTTCCCTATTAGTAGTTTCCCATCATTATCATGTACTCATTCTAAACCATGAAACCAGTAACCACAGAGGCTTTCTCACCTCAACTCAAAGCTCTAGGGAACAAAGTTAAACACAATTTAAATAATAAATTCATAATTATATTTCACATGAAGTATCATAATTTAGCAATTCAATTAAAATGTTCCAGTTTAATATGCAAAGTGAGTCATCATCCAAGAATTCGAGAACCCTACAACTTGACTGCCCCTGATCATCACACAACATATGTAAACACGACCAAGTCACCTTACTGCTCAACTCACCAAGTGTGTCTGCCTATAGCTGGATAGAGAGGAGGGGGGGGGTCTGTAGTTGACAGAGACTCCCGCCCTGCCGGCCGACAGCCTCCCTGCTAGGGCCGTCTCCTCTGCTTCTCCTGACTGCCGTTCTGTCTGTTAATGCTTTTTGCTGGATAGCTCTCCGAGTTTATATTGGGGAACCTAGTAGCTAACTCCGCCCACAAGTAGATAGCCTCCGGCACTACCAAGCCACTCCTTAAACGTCGGCATGTTTGAAGGCTACCAGACTACAATTATCAGCTTAGCGGAAGCAAGGTGAAATTCTCATGATCTGACCTCAGGTCACTTGAGGTCATTAATGCTTTGAGGTGTGAGATCTCAGGCAGACAACTGGCGCCTCTCAGATCCTTGTCTGTGACTCATGTACTCTTTATATATTTTAAATAAACTAACTCAAACACTTTTACAGTGTTACAGGGAGATATGTCTAGGTGTTGCTGGGGAGATACGCCCAGGTCTTGCTGGGGAGATATGTCTAGGTGTTGCTGGGGAGATACGCCCAGGTCTTGCTGGGGAGATACGCCCAGGTCTTGCTGTGGAGATATGTCTAGGTGTTGCTGGGGAGATACGCCCAGGTCTTGCTGGGGAGATATGTCTAGGTGTTGCTGGGGAGATACGCCCAGGTCTTGCTGGGGAGATACGCCCAGGTCTTGCTGGGGAGATACGCCCAGGTCTTGCTGGGGAGATATGTCTAGGTGTTGCTGGGGAGATACGCCCAGGTCTTGCTGGGGAGATATGTCTAGGTGTTGCTGGGGAGATACGCCCAGGTCTTGCTGGGGAGATATGTCTAGGTGTTGCTGGGGAGATACGCCCAGGTCTTGCTGGGGAGATATGTCTAGGTGTTGCTGGGGAGACATGTCCAGGTCTTGCTGGGGAGATATGTCTAGGTGTTGCTGGGGAGATACGCCCAGGTCTTGCTGGGGAGATATGTCTAGGTGTTGCTGGGGAGACATGTCCGGTCTTGCTGGGGAGATATGTCCAGGTGCTGCTGGGGAGATATGTCCAGGTCTTGCTGGGGAGATATGTCCAGGTGCTGCTGGGGAGATATGTCCAGGTGCTGCTGGGGAGATATGTCCAGGTGCTGCTGGGGAGATATGTCCAGGTGCTGCTGGGGAGATATGTCCAGGTCTTGCTGGGGAGATATGTCCAGGTGCTGCTGGGGAGATATGTCCAGGTCTTGCTGGGGAGATATGTCCAGGTGCTGCTGGGGAGATATGTCCAGGTCTTGCTGGGGAGATATGTCCAGGTGCTGCTGGGGAGATATGTCCAGGTGCTGCTGGGGAGATATGTCCAGGTCTTGCTGGGGAGATATGTCCAGGTGCTGCTGGGGAGATATGTCCAGGTCTTGCTGGAGAGATATGTCCAGGTGCTGCTGGGGAGATATGTCCAGGTCTTGCTGGGGAGATATGTCCAGGTGCTGCTGGGGAGATATGTCCGGGTCTTGCTGGGGAGATGGGCAACAGACCCTCAAGTTATTTTGGGAATTTTTTTTTTTTTAGTTTGAGAGAAAATAAAAATCTTGTTATTGGAGGAAGTTCATTATTGGAGGAAGACGAGAGAGTAATGGAGGGAGGGAGGGAGAGGGGGAGAGAGAGGGAAGAGAAGGAGGGGGAGAGAAAGGGTAGAGAAGTAGGGGAAGAGAGGGGTTGTGGAGAGGAGAGAACTGAGGAATGATTGGTAATGATTTGCTTTCCTCTAATCACGTAAACAAGTTGAAGGATTGTGAGGAAACACTCGCGCTCAGTACGGGGGGCCATAGATGGAATGCGCTAGAGGAAGTCATGGAAGCCACCTCCAGCCAACGTCTTCCAGGGCAGATCAAACTTTAGGACTCGAACGTCAAACAAATAAAAAGCAAATAACTGGTGCCAAATAAGTGTTCACTGCTTCGTAGTTACTGTCAGGTAAGCACTATCACACTACACCTCCTTCAAGACGACAGCCACCTCCTTTAGCTCCCCCCTCACCACCACCCCCAGCCCCTCCATCATCTCCACCCCCACCACCGCCCCCACACCATTACCTCTGTATTTCTCTATCTCTGGCTTCTGTATGTTTCTGCGCCTCTTGTATATTTCCCAGTCTCTGTATATGTATCTCTCGGTCTGCGTAACTCTGTGCTTCTGGAGAGAGAGAGAGAGAGAGAGAGAGAGAGAGAGAGAGAGAGAGAGAGAGAGTAAGTTGGCTCCATTTAAAACTAAATGTTTACATCAAGGAGCTACTTGCCTTGAACGCAAGATCACGCTGACACTCCCTCTGGCACCATACACAAGAGCCGCCCACCACACGAGCCCCAGCGTCACTCACCAGCTGGGGCCTCATCCACCTGGCGTGGCTGACACAAGGTTATATTACCAGATGAGAAAAAGCGGATGAAAGCGAACATATTGATAACTGAACAGAAATTTACATAATCACTGGAACCAGCCTTTGGAGGGACTTTAACTCCAGTGGAGATCTTGGGCGGGATTTGTGTATCTTCTTTTAACAGTGAAGAAACACGTGCTAAAGCTTGCGAACACGCTTGGCACCAAGCTTGCAGCATTATTGCACGGCTCATATTTTCTAGTCAGCAGCGGCTGCAAAACTTTGTTTGAAGTGTAAATGTTATTCGCACCTAACCTAGCCAAACCGGTTTGTTAAATGACCTTCCGCGATCTATCCCGTGGGTTCCTGGACGAGGAGCAGCCAGGTGGTAGTTCAGTGCCCCCCCCCGCCCCCCCCCCCAGCAGCAACCTGTCATGGCACCATCGGCCAGATGAACAGTTTCTTTAACCGCGGAGATGCCCGTGGTTTTCACCTAACATCTCTAGGGTAACCCCGATGTCTGGGTCGTTACCAGGCAGGTGTCTGGGTCGTTAAGCCTGAGTCTGGGTATCACTTGGCTGCCTGACCGTTCGCCAACTTGCCTGGCCGGATATTTGTCCGAGTAGCTGGCTGACTGCATGTTGAAATTCCTGTTTCCCTACCTGTCCAAGGCGCCCACCTGACTGACTGTCAGTCCGTTTGATTGTCTACCTGTCACGTCTTGCTGTCTACCTCTCCGCCTGCTCACCTGTCCGCCCTAATTATCTAGCTTCCTGAGATGTTATACCTGTGAGGTGCTCTCCTCTTGCTTCACAAGACATGTTGACTGTCTAGAGAAACAGCCTTTGTCAAAATAATGATCTGCAACAATTAACAAAATATGCCTTTTACAAAATAGAAACCGTAAGATTTTGATATATGGATCGCACGCAACGAGACGTGCACGCAGGCGTGTTGCGTGTCAGTACCTGCGACACATACCCACATACCCACAGCCGTAGGGGAGGGTATAGGGAGGGTGATCAGCGCGGGAAGGGGGGTACAATAGAGCATAGCTTGGTAGGCATGGCATACTGGGCGGTGTGGCAACAGCCGCTACATTAATGTTAGGATGTTGGGGCATGGCATACTGGGCGGTGTGGCAAGAATGTTGCAACAGCACATTAAGGGCAAGTTAGCTGGGCACCGTCGTCTTTGGGCAGAGCTGAGCCCGCCACGTTGGGCTGTTGCCACCCGCCAGTTATTTTGGTGGACTTGTTATTACGCAGCAGTTAGGTTAGATGCGCGCGCGCGCGCGCGCGCGCGTGTGTGTGTGTGTGTGTGTGTGTGTGTGTGTGTGTGTGTGTGTGTGTGTGTGTGTGTGGAAAAACAGGATAGCGTCTCCAGGACTCGGCTCCCAGCATCTCACAAGGCCGTTTGTTAAATAAAAAGAAGTTTCTTCGTAATTAAAAAAACTGGTTGTATATACTGGCCAGGAATCAATAGTTAATTTTGTATGATATATATATATATATATATATATATATATATATATATATATATATATATATATATATATTTTTTTTACCTGGGCTCTGGGAGACTCGAACCACGGGCCCAACGTGTGTGAGATCCAAGCTTTTTAAAAGTAAAAATGTTTGTCTTTTAACCAAGATTGGAGGCCAAACGCTCTGGGCTAGCCTCACCCAACTTTACAGGGTGACAGGTGGAAATATGACAACCAGCATGGGTGAGATGGAGCCGGCCCTATTGCTCACATTAAAAGAGAGAGCGGCTCCCTCTGTGACCCCCCACAAAGTCGGTGGATTCATGGACATTTCGAGATTATGTTGACATATAACTTTTAGGTGCTACATGGGGCTGTAACACAGACCAGATCGACCGAGTGAGTGGTCGAAAAAGAAAACGG